TGGCCGCTCTCTCATTTTGCCCTCTGATTGGCTTGCTTCTGCTTCAAGGCCTCTATCCATGGAAGTTTGGCTATCAAAACATTAGCTTTATGTTTGGATTTTTAAGATTATATTATTTGTGGTCAGCAGAATAACGTGCTCCTAAAGATGTCCGCATCCTAATCCCCAGACCCTTACATGGCAAAGAGGAGTTAAGCCTGCAGATGGAGTTAAAGTTGCTAATCAACTGACCTTAAAATAGGGAGAGTATTCTAGATTCTTCATTCAAGTGGGCCCAATGTAATCACAAGGGTCCTTGAAAGCGGAAGAGGGACTCAGACAAGAGAACCAGAGAGGTGGTCCAACATGGCTGACTCTGACGATGGAGAAATGGGGCCATAAGCCAAGGAATATGGGCAGCTTCTAGAAGCTGGAAAAGACAAGGAAACAGATTTTCCAAAAGCCTCCAGAAGGAGTACAGCCCCGACACCTTGATTTTAGCCCAGTGAGGCCTATTTCAGACTTCTGACCTCCAGAACTGTAAGAGAATAAATTTGTGTTGTTTTAAGTCCCTAAGTTTGTGGCAATTTGTTACAGCAACAATAGGAAACTAATCTCCTACTCGTGATGACAACTATTTATCGAGCTTCTAGTCTATGCCAGGCCCTGTGTTCAGTGCTGCACGTACATCATCTCATTTCACACACACAACAGTCCTGCAAGGCAGGTGTTCTTGTTCCCATTTCCTAAATTAAGAAAATGGGGCTCAGGGAAGTTAAATGACTTGGCCAAGGTCACACAGCTGGTTTGTAGGGGAGCAAAGATACCAACCCCAGCACCACTGGCTCTACAGTCCATGTTCCATCGGCTCCCTCGGGTTCACCACTGCAGTGGCCTAGATACCTCCTCAGAAAATATTTGTTGTTAGACGTTAGACTTCAGTGTTCCAGGTCACCTAGTTAGTATGTTGAGCGCAGCTGTTCTCTTTGAGGCTTAGTTTCTCAACCTTTAAAAGGGGTAGTAATGCCTGCTGGGTGTTCTTTTGGGGTTGTGGCAGGGATGAAACCAGAATCTGTGTGGGAAAATTCTCTGTGAACTGTTAAGTGCTCTCCCCATGTAAGAAATTCAGAATAAACTTCCCTCAAACTACCAAAACTTCCCCAAACCATTGTGACACCCTTTCCCTTCAAGGCCAGGCGTGGCCCCCTAGATAGACATCCTTACTAGGGACATTTTACATTATCTAAAATAAGGGAAAAAAATATATGTTTGTCTCTTCCCCCAGTTCCTGACACAGGGCTCCTACAACCTTATAATTTTCTAAGTGATAAGAGCACTAGGAATGTCTTTTGTTCTAATGTTTGGTCTTTGACCCTGTTTCTGACAGAAAGCTCCTAAATCTCTTGGAATTTCCAGGGTGATAGGAGTGTCTTTTGTTCTTATGGGGTGACTCTTGGTGGGCTCCTGGATAGCTTCAAGATGGGGGCTGGTCACCAGAAAGACCAAACCATGATTAGAAGCTTGGAACTTCCAGCCCCACCTCCCATCCTCTGGGAAGGGGAGAGGGGCTGGAGATTAGTGTTAATGATGGAGCATGCCTATGCGATGAAGCCTCCATAAATATCCCAAGGGTATGGGATTTGGAGAGCTTCCAGGTTGGTGAACACGTGGAGGTGCTGGGAGAGTGGGGCACGTGGTGGAGAGGGCATGGAAGCTCCACACCCCTTCCACATACCTTGCCCTTGTGTATCTCTTCCATCTGGATGTTCATCTGTGTCCTTTATCATATCCTTTTATAATGAATTGGCAAGTCTAAGTGTTTCCCTGAGTTCTGTGAACCATGCTAACAAATTATCAAACCCCAGGAAGGGATCATGGGGACCCTGATTTATAGCCAGTTGGTCAGAAGCACAGGTGACAACCTGGGACTTGAGGTTGGCATGTGAAAGTAGGGGGGGCAGTCTTAACCTGTGGGTCTGATGCTCTCTCCAGGTAGGTAGTGTCAGAATTGAGTTAAATTGTAGGACACCCAGCTGGTGTCACAGACAATTGCTTGGTGTGGGCAACACCTCCCCCCCCCCCACACACATTTGGTGTTGGAAGTGTGAGTGTGGTAGGAGTGTGAGAGTAAAGAAGAAACACAGGAGTGTAGTTTTTTTCTTAACAATTATAAAAACCAGAGGACTCAGGTGTGAAAGTGGTGGTTTGGATCCTTTCTTTCTTTTGCTGTTTTGTTTTGTTTTTGTCCTTTGGGTACCTGTGTGTGTTCGTGATGGTGGTTTGGCACCATAAAAAGGACACTTGCTAAACTTTTTCTATTACTGCTGCCCACATGCTGTTCCAGCTCCCTGGCCCTGATTGGCCCCTGACAGCCCCACCAATGATGGGGTGACCCAGGGCTTTTGTAACATGGTGGTTTAAGAAGATGTATGTGATGTTGTGTGTACAACAGATTAGAGGTAAGAAGACCAGTTGGCAACTACAGTGATAATCTGGATGTGATCTGATCAGGGCGTGGACTGAGTGGTGTTATCAGTGGGGACAGAGAGAAAAGGATGAATCAGGGAACTATTAGGAAGGAAAAGAAAGAGCCTCAGGACTTGGTGCAAATCGTACAACCATCTCTGTACGAAGAGAAGATTGGGGGCTGGGGTCGCAGGCAGGCACATGGAATGATTCTGCTGCTTCTTCCACAGCGAAGAAAAATTAGGTCAGTGGTAAAAGTTGAAGATACTGGGTCAACATCTGAAAGGACTTTCTAGCAGTCAGAGCCATTCGGCCCTGAGATGGGCTGCTGGTGGAATTACCGTGGGCTCTGGAGTCAGGCTGACCTGGGTGTGAGTTCCAGGTCTCCTGGTCCTTGGCAGAGGACATTGGGAAGGTCAGCCTCTGTGAGCCCCAAGTTCCTCATCTGTAAAATCAGAATAATATTTACTTTGCAGTCATGAAGAAGACGAAATAAGAAAATGTATATGAAGGGGCTAATACTATTCCAGAAACACTGTAGGCTGCATCAGCGGTAGCTATTGGTATAATTAAGTGTCAGGTTCCCCATCACTAGGCATACCTAACTGGGGATTAAGTGACCTTTTTTGGAGCATGCTCCAGAGGGTTTGGCAATATTGGTGACAACTTGGATAAGAAAATGTATTTGGTCCCTTCCATAGCCCAACGGCAATTCCACCTCTAAGGAATTTATTCTAAATAAGCAATCTGATTAATGATACATGCACAAGATGATTATTCCAAAATCGTTTGCCTAAGAATGTGAAAAACTCAAATATCCAACAATGAAGAAATAAGTCATGATACATCCCTATCACGAAATACCATGCAAGTCACTAAAAATGTTGGTGCACATGTGTTTGTTGACATGGAATGATAATCTCAACATATTACTAAGTGAAAATGCAGACTATTAAAAATATGTAGCATATTGTTCCATTTTCTTTTTTAACAAAATATTTATTTAAAACATTTACATTAAAAAGTCTTGGGAAGATATACTTCAAATATCCATGGTAGTTACCTCTGGATGGTTAAGTCTTGGGGCAAATTTAATCCTTTTTTTGGTTTGTCTGTATTTTATCATTTTTCTCTAATAAGAATTACTTGTGTAGTAGTAACAAGCATAAATGGTAACAGAGCTCTGTCACCAGCTGGGGTGAGGGAAGGATAGAATTTGAGGTGAATGGTGAAGGCTGGTGACCCCAGAGCACCCTGTCTTCTCGGCAGCTGAAACCCAGGAGTGTGGCAGAACCCCAAAGCCTCAGAAGAAGAGGAGCCTCAAAGCAGCCAGCCCCGGTGAGGTGAAGCTCCCCGAAGCCCCAAGTAGGAGAAAGCCCAGATTAGACCAGAACCAGAAGTTCCTGCAGATCAAGACGCCCGTGGAGGCCGCAGCCCCTCCACCCTGGCCCAGGTGTTAGGGAGGGCCCGTTTCTGGAAGGTGGGAGACTCGCTGAGCCTGCACTGCCGGGGAACCCCGGGAGCTGCACCGCGAGGGGAAGGTGGTCCGCTGGAGGGTGCCTGCGTACCGGGAAGAGGAGGGCCAGGGACGCCTGGGGAATCGAGTGGAGGAACTCGCATGACTGCCGCAATGGGGCCAGGGGTGGGTCGGAGGATGTCGGGCAGCGGTTTACAAGCACTTGGATAACTGTTTTTATAGGGGTTAAAACGGCTCAGAACCCACACTGGGCATCCCGTTACTACAACTACAGGCACCTAAAAGAAACAGTAAAATGGGCTCACAAGACCCGTCAGACGCATAGTGTTTAACAGAACGGGAGACAAGACTTCCCACAATCCTGAGATGTCAATTCTGGGGCCAGCAAATAGCACCTGTAGGCAGAAAGGCGGCAGTGGTAAGGCAAACGAGGCTGACAGTCCGACCCGTCTGTGCTTGGATGTCAGGCTGGAGACCACCCTTCCCTCAGGGACACCATCATAGGAAAGCTAGAAATCAAGGCAAAGTTGACCCCGCCAGCATTACCCGCCCCAATCCAGAAGAGAATCTGGCAGAGGCTGGGACGGAAGACTGGGTTCGGGACATTTGTCCACCCTCTTTCAACTCAGCGTCTTAAAATGAGACTTCTTGGGGCTCTGCCTCCTTTGGCGGTGAGGTGTTTAGAGGACGTTTGCTGGCCTGGACAAAGGGACACCAGGAAGGAGCCAAGGAGGGCAAAGGAATTTGGGGGATTCCATTTGCAACACGTGGGCAAGGTCAATGGGGAGTCGATGGACTAATTAGAAACTGCGCCTGAAGCCTGTGAGCCAATCAGAAACTGTGGGTGGGGCCAATACAAATCCTGAAAGGCCAGTGGGGGCAAGGGCGAAAGACTGGGTGGATGGGGTGACGAAATTTGGAGAGGAGGACTGTCAGCCGAACAAACGCTGCCCACCAGGCGTCTCAGGCCACCCCTGTCTCCTGCCGGCCCCGCCCCCACGACTGTCTTACAAAATCAAGCACTTCAGCCGGCACAGTCAGCTGCAGTTGGTCAACTCCACGGCCGGAACACTGGGAAATACAGACGTCGGGCTCGGCGCTGCCAGGACGGCGCGTGCGCAGAAGGCGAGGCTCAAGAAAGACCATCTTCACAGGCGCCCTAGAGCCAGCTTCTCCAAGAACCTCGGACAGGAAAGTCCTCCAAACATAACCGTCTTAAGTCTGTCCCCTTAGACCCACCTGTTAAATTAGGGGATTGCGCTAGGGGTTCTCCAAGATCCTTCTTGTGCCATTCTGGGGTTCTATGGCTAGTTCCATGTGGAATTGAGGAGTCACAGAGTCTAATTTTGTCCAACGGAGGAAATAGATGACCCTTCGGGACTCAGCAGTGTCTCCCTCACTCAAATCCAACCATAACAGTAATGACTGACCAGCGGACAGGTTATTGACCCTATCTGTGTTCCCGGGGAGCCTGTTAACAACACAGATTCTTGGCCCCCACGCCCATTAAGTCTGGAAAGAGTGTGGAAACCTGGAATGCCAATAAGTCCTGCAGGTGATGCCCGTCTTCAGGAAGATCTGGGAACCGGTAGCCAGTGCCTCTCAACTCTGGCTGCATATTAGGGTCCCCTGAGACCAACCCCGAGTAAGGGTCTGATCTACCTGGTCTGGGGGTGGTGCCCAGAAGCTGGGTATTTTAAAAGCACCTCGGATGCTTCTCATGTTCAGCCAAAGTTAACCATTGCATTTGTCTCGACTCTAGAGCCTCTTCACCCAATACAGAAGCCACTCAACGGATGTGGCTATTTAAATCTAAATTAGTTAAAATTAAAGAAAGTTTAAGAGTCCGTTCCTCACTCGCCCGAGCTACATTTGAAGTGCCCTATAGCCACAGGTGGCTAGTGGTTGCCTATTGCATAACACAGTTACAAAACATTTCCATCGTTACAGCAAGTTCTCCGGGACAGCGCTGTTCTGGAAAGCTGGCCCCCAGATAATTCCTACTCACGGCACCATTGTGCACCCAAGAATCTGACCTGAGATTGTGTTGCTAAAAGTCCTTTGAAGGAGTTTGAAGAAGGTTTGCCTCCCACAGGCCTGGCGCCTCATCTCCAGTATCATTTGCTTATCAGCTCTGTGAAGGAGGCCAGAACAGGATTATTGCTCCTGCTTGACTTATAAGAACCAAGGCTCAGAGGAAGAAAGTGATTTAAGATCCCACAGCTAGTGGGTATCTGGACTGGAATTAAACCAGAAATCTCTACTACTAGTTCACGCTTCCTGTAATATTTTTCATCTAGAAGGGCTCTTTGAGACCAAGCAGTCTGAACCCCCTCATTGTACAAATGAAGATACTAAAGATCAGAGAGGGAAAAAGATTTAAGACGCACAGCAAACTAATGACAAAGCTGGAACTAGCAGGTTGGTCTTCAGCCCTCAGTCAAGGACCCCTTAGAGAGAGGAAAGAGAATGGAGATGGGCAGGGAAACTGGGATTTCAAGTCCCCACGATGGACCTCATGCTCATGGGTGGTGGAAGAACATCAGGAAGCAAGAAATCTGTCCCAAGTTCATTCTCTCTCCCTCCTTCCCAGACCCAGAGGAACTCTTTGTCCCCACAGAGGATTATTATGAGGTGGTGCAGCTGTGCAGCCATCAGCCAGTCCTGCTTCCCAGCCAGGTGAGCAACTCTCTGGTCCAGGTGACACTGCACAGGGAGTTCCTCCTTGAGGAGGTCCCAGTGGATGGGATGGACATCTCCTTTGATGAGGAGAAGGGCTTCACCATCCTCTGGTCCCAAGCTTCCTTGGCTGGCTCCTTCTGCTTGGCCAGCCTAGGCATCAGGAGACAAATCTCTGCCATCTATGTGCTGATCTACATTAACTGTGTGTGAGCCTAGGGTTCTGGGTGGGTAAGGAAGGGGAGGATATGGGGATAGATCCTCTGTTGAGAATTTCAGGGTTGGGTTCTGTGGATTATGGAGCTCTAAACAAGCTTTCAACAACACTCCATGTATTCACTCATCTTGTCCAGATAGCCAGGCAACCAGCCATCAAGCTAGCCTGCATTGGTTCAACTGTTACAGATTCTCACTTAAGTCAAACTATTCCATTTGTCCCTCCTCCATCAAATCAACCATTCCATTCAACAATCCTCCATCAAATCAACCATTCCATTCAACGATCCTCCATCAAACCAACCATTTCATTCAATAATCCTCCATTAAATCAACCATTCCATTCAACAATCTTCCATCAAATCATTCCATTCACCCATCCTTCATCAGATAAGCTGTTCCATTATCCACCCACCCTCTATTAATTCATTATACCCATTCACACCTCCTCTATCAATTCAACCACCTCAACCATTCATCCCCTATCAATTCAACCAGTCCACCCATTCATTCCATTCAACCATTTGAACAATCAATTCAACGTTTGTCTCCATTTCTCTCCCTTCTTCTTCATGGCAGACCCATCTTCCTCCTCCAAACCCACCATCCAAACTTCAGCAATATCAGTTCAAATGGGAGAGAATTTCAATGTGACCTGCACAGTTTTGGGTGAGCCAGAGATTGCTGTGGACTTCAGTTGGGAATATCCAGGGCAGAAGGTAAGCAGAGGGTGAGAGGAGGCTGCGTGTATGTGTGTACGTGGTGGTGTTGGGTTGGGGCAGGGATGTGGGAGTGAAGGATGAGGATGAAGGCCAGGCGCGATCATGGCAGAGTGGAACCACTGCTTGACTGGGAATCTGATGAACCTGGACTCTAGTCACAACCCTCACACTGCTTCTCCAAGTGGCTTTGGGCAGTCACTTCCCTTTTCTGTTCCTCAGTTTCCTCCTTTGTCAGATAGAGCAATTTCTCAGGTTACTGTATAAAAATGTATAATTTGATCTTTGTTAATTTATGCAACAATAATTATTGAGCACCCACCACGTGCCAGACACTGTACCAGGTGCTGAGACTACAATGATGAGTCAAAAGAGAGATGGATTCTGCTTTCTGCTAGTTTACAGACTAAATGGGGAAGAGGAAGCAGGAAATGAACAAATATGATCATCTAAAGAATAGGTGCTGCATTGCAATAAAACAGGGCCATGGGATAGGGTCTACTTATGATAGAGGGGTCAGAGGTGACATTCCAGCTGAGACCAGACTGGCCTAAATCGGCCTTGGGCAAGTGCTCAGGCCCTATGGTTGGGGGTGTGTGTGATGGGAGATGGGGCAAATGCATTAGCAACTGTTTCCCAGGCATCTGCTTCAGGCCAAGACCTTTCCAAGGTGTCACTGGAGAGGTGGTCATAGTGATGTTCTTTCCTCTCAAAGAACTTACCCCTTAACCCTCAAACATCTGGAGAGCAGCTGTGCCAAATAGTAGGCTACCAACACTGACGACTTTAGGAATTCTTAAAAGGGCTTCCTGGAAGAGCTAGAATTTGACATGAGCCTCGGAGGAAGGGCTGGACTCAGCGAAGACATGATGATGGTGAGGCCTCAGGAGGGAGAAAGAGTGGGGATCATCCTCCCACTTATCAAAGGTGGAAATTTAGACCCCAGAAAGGGAAAAGAACATGCAGGTGCTTGGGAGACACTGACTTTGCTACACCAGCATTTCTTCAAACGTTCCTTGGAGTGGTAGAATACCACCCCCTCCCACTAAAAAAAAGTGTTCTTAGGAAAACACTGCCCCTTATAACCATCACCTGCCTTGGAGATTCAAAATGCACATGCACACGTGACAGACTCAGTGGTCTGAGTCTCCCCAGTTTAACTTTGCTTGACAGTGTTTCCCAAACAATTTTGGTAACGGAATCCCACTTTCTCCTCCTTCAGGGAGGGAGCACCCGTTAATATCCCCACAGAACCGGAGGGCCCCACAACCTGCACTAGAGGTGCTGCTCCGGGCTGGGTGACCTCTTGCATCTCCTTGAGCAGGGCAGGAGACGCCCGCTTCTCCCCAGGGACTTGAGAAGCTGCACGTCTTCCACAAAGACGCTGGCCTTTCAGGTGCTCTGACACGGAGGTGTGACCCTGGGCAAGTCACTTCCCCTCTCCCTGAAGGGATACATGGTGCCTCTTACCTGCCTGGTGGTGCCTGAGTTCAAGATGGCACCTGGCGCAGCAGAGGGACAGTTATTTTTTGTCCCTGCAGCTGGGCAAACCCCTCTACATCAATGAGGGCCGACATGAGGCATTGGGAGGGCCAGGTGCAGCGGGAGGCAGGGAGCACCTTGCAGGTGGAAGAGGCCCGGGTCTGGGATGAGGGTGTCTGCACCTGCAGGGCCACCAACCTTTGGGGCAGGGGCACCACCACCACCTGTGTCTACTTAACCCCAAGCCCTCATGTCTCTCTTCCCCCTTCTTGGCTCCTTCCCTGGCTGCAGGCATCTGCGTGTGCCAGCAGTGGGCAGAAACAAGGGTAGGTGACTGTGTGAACCTTGATGCTAAGGGCGTGCCCCACAGAGCAGAAAGAGCCTTCCCCTTCACCCCTCACACTCTGCCAGCCCATCACTGCTTTCACTCCTTGCTTCAACCTCACAGCTCACTCCAGGCTCTGACCTCCAAGCCAGCCTTCGCTCCAACCCCAGGCCCCACTCTGAGTCCAGGAAAAGCCAGGGCACTGGGTGCCGGTACATGAGTAGGGAGCCCAGAACCGCTGGTGAGTCACCTAGGTCCCAGGACTTATTCCTCCAGGATCCCTGCCCCTAGTGGAGATCCCCAGTGAGGACCCAGGTGCTCCCTCTCCCAGGAAAACTCGGAGGCCAAGTAAATTGGATACCGCGTGTTAACTTTAGTTTCTGTGTCTTGTCTGCCCCAGGGTGGGGCTGTGACCACAGTTTATCTCCTCATATCCACCACAGGCTACACGAGGGAAACCCCACTCCCCATCGCCCCTTCTCCAGCCTGGCCCCTCTCAATTAAAACAATGCTTTCTAAAGTGCATTCTGCAGCTTCAAGGGCTCCAGTTGGGGTAGAAACTTGGTCAAAGAAGTTTAGGAATTGCTGGACGCTTTGCTTCCTTCTTGGGGATTTGCAGCGCACATGAGCTTATTAAAGCTTCTGAGAAGGCCTGCATTTTGCAGATCTGTTTAACATGACTGAACCTAGAATTTCCCAAATCACTTGCCCACTGATTCTTTTCTTGGTCATGCTTATTAATGTTCAATGAACCAGTGTGTCCCAGAC